GCTTTAGAATATCGATACAGTATCGGGGAAATGAAACATCGCGATATTTCAGTGTATCGATATTTTCTTACTCTCCTATAAATGACAGACGGGTTTTAAACATGCATCATAAAACATCTTTAAATGTTTGTTTTTGTTTGTTTGCAGGTTCTGGGTGACCTGAAAGCAGACAACCAGAGACTCAAAGACGAGAACGCTGCCCTGATCCGAGTCATCAGCAAACTGTCCAGATGAACCTGAAAACTGCGCCGGACTGAAAGTATTAAACCATAAATGCCCCCCGCCCCCCCGAGGACACGAACCACTAAAGGGAGATGCAGCGTCCACCTGCAGCTCGTCTCCAGCTCTCGTCTGTTGGGACTGGTTTTGTTTGTTTTTGTTTGTTTTTGTGGCAGACCTACTGTAAGACTCTGAGCTCCACCTGCCGTGGACCCACAGGACTTTTTTATATTAAGTTTTTACTGTCGTGTTTTATAACTGGAATATTGTGCTTCAGTATAAACCTTTAAGAGGCTTAAAGCCACGCACAGCGAGCGCTGACGGGTGGAGGATTTAAAAAAGAAAAGTCGGTCAGGTTGATGTTCAGATTTAAATGTGCCAAAAGGAGAAAACAGACCCAGTTTGCACAGCTTTAGGTAAAACATGAGCAGTGTTTTGTGACTCAGGATGAGTCTTTGCTGTTCTTTTTTTTTTTTGGACCAAACCTGCGTTTGCTCCTCCTCGATCCTCCGAACGTTGGTCGCTCCGGGTCTGCTGTTACAGACGAAGAGGTCACCAGGTGACGCTCGGGTCGGGACCCTCTCAGAACCCGGGTCACAGACGAGGACATGCGGTCCCACCTCAGTACTGTGCATCAGTAGGAACTTCTTCAAGTATTCACCACGTGACGAGCGGCCTGACGGCTCCACCTCTGAATGTTTACTTTAAAAGAACTAAAAACTGCATGTCAACGTGTCACATTGTACTTTGATGCTGTGCCTTTGGAGAGACATTTGTAAAGTAATATTTCTATTTTGCTTTGGCAGTGTACACTGTGGACTATGAAATACAAGATGGGCATAAATCAGCTTGTTTTCTTTTATACGTCCCTGCTCTTCACCTGGAAGCTGGTGTCCAGCCGTCAGAGAGGCAGGGCACACCTGGACAGGTGTCCTTCACAGGTACACAGAGACGATCATTCTCACACCCAGGAACAGTTTAGAGAACAAAACACYTGGAAACCTAACCTGTCCACGAGAAAACTAACAAGTTTTATTTTTTATATTTAACCTCTGGAGAAATCAGGAGTTTCAAACAGTTTAAAAATCAAAACTTGGTCAATATTTACTGAAACCATGTTGGTGGTGTTTATAGAAAAATAGTTATGTAATTTTTGTATTATATATTATGTAGCGTTTAGAACGTAAAATTTAGAAATACATGTCCTTATTTATGCCTTAAGCTTTATTTCATTTACTAAGACCCAGTTTTTGAAAGGGGTGGGGGTGTTTATGTTCCTAACCCTGGATTTACACTAGATGCAGCTCCACTTCGCTGTGCAGTTCACAGCTGTTCGTTTTAACTCGTTTATAGAGTTTATACAGCCCCGCTCTGCTGCGACACACAGAGGAGGGAGAGTGTGCAGGAAGGAGATGGATCAACAAATCCAGTGATAAATGTGGAAGTCAGAGCGAAAATCATTAATTCTGTGAAAGACGAACTCCAAACACAGCTGAAAACATTGATATAAAAACTTTAGATATCTATGGTTAAAACAGTACCGCTGTCTTTTTGAAACTTCTGATTTCAAAATAAAATCCAGGTATCGTGTTTTTACGCTACATGTTCTGCTTCCCAAAYAGAACCATACATTCTGACAGCATTTGTGTAGAAATATATTCAGATATTAATTAATATAGCTGGGATTTCTGCAAAATTATTCCACCTTATGGTGTCTTATTCTGAAAATACGGATGTTGTGCTTGATCCTTTTCCTGTTGGTGCGACGTGATCTCTGTAGATTGACTCTGGAGCAGCTCCGGAGTCGGGCACAAATAGGATTGGATCTAATTTTGGAGTTTTTCCGTCCGCTCACCGGAGCTGTGTGGAGCCAGTGTAAACACTGTGATTAGAATGGTTGTGTGTTTGCTGTGGAGGTTGGACTGGAGCACAGACACATGTAGTGTAAATTAGGGGTTAGCGGGGTTCCCACAGATCCTTAAAAAGTCTTAAAAGAATCTTTCACAGGTCTTAAAATGTATAAACACATTGTCAGTAGAGGGATTATCTGTCTCAAATTTTAAAATAATTGGTAACATTTATTTATTTTCTGAAATAATTTAATGGTTGCCTCCCGCAGCTAGTTTAATGTTAAAATAAACATTTGGCTAAAATAT